TGAAGACTTTTTTTTTAATGAAAATGCTTTTCTGGTTATATGGCAGGAAAATTTTCTCTGCTGCTCCAGTTTTACAACAAGACTGTTTTTGATCAGTGGTATATGTTTTCTTTTAAAAAAAAATGTTGCTGAAGAATGTAGTGGGTTATACCAGTGGCACCATTCTATCAATTGAAAATACCTTATTTTTATTCTTGTTCAGGTCACAATTAATACATGGATGCTGCTTGCATGGGTTGTTGTCCAAATATTTTCCCAGTCCACTGTGATTTTATTGCCCAGGAAATTGTTCATATTTTTGTTTCCCCATAAGTTTAGCAGTAGAACTAGGAGAATATATACATATGAGTAAACTCTATCTAGCATTATTTAAATAATAATAAAGGAACCTGTAGCCTTTGGACTTCCCACCATCCTTTCCACCATGTCCATTGATGAAGGATCTTGGGGCTTAGAATATAGCACTTCTAAAAAAACAGAAATTTGATTTATTTTCATCACTGTTCCATAGGCTTTAGTTAGCTTTGAAAACAAGAAATCACAACCTGCATCCCAGCAAAATAAATATAGCTCCTCTTTATATACTTTATGATCTTGCCATTTACTATACACTGAACAAAGACACAAGAAAAATACTTTTCTGGAAGAATTCTTAATGTGAAGCAAGGAATAATCTGATAAGCGATTAATAGGCATTTTCTCACCTGTCTTTCATTTCTGCTTCCTTCTGAAGGGAAAATTATAGTGATGGTACCTGTTTGGATGGATACGATCTTCAGCATTTATGGAGACTTTCTCTTGCAGGAAATCGGCTGTTATAAGCAATTGTTTTGACTGTTTGACAAGGTCAAACCTATCATGTGTAGGTGATTTATGGATGGGATATTCTGGAAAAAGTTCCTGGGGCATCACTACTGATATTAGGATTGCACTGGAAATTCCTTTCTAATACTCCGAGGCTGCAAACTCATGGTCATTATACTATATCATATAGTAAACAAGATGTATGGTCAAGAGTTATTAGAAGCTTAAAAAGATTCCAAACTGCCATGATAGACTCTTTTTCTTTTCTTATTTTCTCCATTAATTTTCTCCATCCCAGAATGTGTCTTTTTCAGGGAAGTAATAAACTATTGATGCAATCTAGCTAAATTATGAAGGAGTTATACATGACAAAAATCAGTATTATTTCATTTTTTCCTACCTATCAACAGCCCTTGTAGCATTCTTTATAAATCCCCACTGTCTTTATTATACATTCCTTTTTGGGTTGTCTTTTGGGGTATTTTGGTTATTTCTAAATACTTTCTCTGCTATATAATTTGACCCTCACAATTAACCTTTGCAAAGCAAAGGAGGGAAAAGAGCATTTGCTACTAAAATAATCAGGTTGGGAATTGTTATATATTTATTGAACTGATTTGATGTTTTTTTCATGACGCCCAACTTCAACCAAATTATTCACAGAGAAACTTTTCAGGGCAACTGCTAAAAGAGGTCTTTTGTATGAGGGAAAAACTTTTTCTATATCAACGCTATATAATTTAGAGCTTTTGAGATTTCAAGTTGTAGTTGAAAGACCCAATGTTTTTCACTGATTAAGAAGAGGAAATATGCAGAAAGTATATTTTGGAGGGGTAAGGTTAAGGAACTGACATTTGACATTATTTTGTTACTCAGGTGTTACAGTTATAAGGAACATGGGAGTGCTAGAGAAAAACTCCTCTATGGAACCCTTTTATTCCAGAGGAACAACTACGTATAAATGATTAATAGAGAATATGCTCCATTTGAAATATAACTATAATGATAATTTGCAAATATGTATGTATGTATGTATGCATGCATGCATGCATGCATGTATGCATGTACGGTATGTACGGTATGTATGTACAGTACGTATGTATGTGTGTATGTATCAGAGGTGGTATTCAGCAGTAGAGAGAGAACCAGCAGTAGAGAACCAGTAGTGGAAATTTTGAGTAGTTCAGAGAACCTGTAAATACTACCTCTGACTGGCCCCACCTACATCTTTTCTCTGCCTCCCAAGTCTCAACTGATTGGGAGGGAATGGAGATTTTGCAGTATCCTTCCCCTGCCCCACCCACCAAGTCACACCCACCAAGCCAAGCCATGCCAACAGAATTGGTAGTACAAAGAAAATTGAATCCCACCACTGGTATGTATGCATGTATGTATGTACACAAACACACATCTATGTATAATGTACAAAAATGTATACAATACCTGATAGGAAAACATACCATTCATACCATTAAGTATATTGCAAAAAAATTGCAAATGCTTAAGCCATTACACTATGCTTGCACACTATGNAGAGAAACACTTAGAACAATGCTTCTCAAGCTTGGTAACTTTGAAAAGTGTGGATTTCAATTCTCAGAATTCTCTAACCAATCTGGTAATTGATGTCCATACATTTAGAACTGGCAAGGTTGAGAAACACCGAAATAAGATGATAGTATTTTAAAGAAAATATTTTAGAGGCGGGTGCTCATGTGTATGGGGAAAAAAACCTGAAAGATTAATATTATTTAAGAAATAATGTAATAATAAGAAAGTCTGATTGATTCAAGTTTATCAAAAGCTGTGGGTGTGCTATTGGAAAGTGAGTGAGCCAGCTAGATATGAGGCCAGAGATGGTAGAGAAAGGAAAACTGAGCTGAGAGAGGATGAATGCTATGATATCTTTGAGAATATCAATCTAGCTAATAGTATATGCAAGGTAAGTATTTTGCACAGAAATATGCAAAGTCTCTACCATGTTTTCCAGAAAATAAGACTGGGTCTTATATTAATTTGTGCTCCAAAAGATGCATTAGGACTTATTTTCTGATTAGGTCTTCTTTTGGGGGAAATATGGCACTAAATACATCCATCTGGCTGACAATCTTAACTGGAGTTTATTCTGGGGTTAGGGTTTATATTACTAACATTGTGAAAAATCATGCTAGGACTTCTTTTCCGGTTAGCTATTATTTTTGGGAAAACAAGGTATTGCTACATCAATTATCCCTACATGGAGAAACATAGCCAGTGCAATGCCATTAACTATTGCTGTTTCACTAAGAGGCAGTTTGGTGTAGTGGTTAAGGTACCAACTAGAGACCAGAAGTTCTAGTCCCACTTAAGGCAGAAGCCAGCTGACTGATCTTGCGCCAATCACTCTCTCTCAGCCCTAGGAAGAAGAGGGCGTCAACAAACCAGTTTCAAACAAATTCCAAGAAAACTCTTGCAGTAGTTGCCAGGAGTGCACACGGATTCAAGCGCGCGCACACACATACACACACACACACACACACACACACACACACACATTAAGCAAAAGATTTCAACTTATTGGTGTATTAAGAAGGGGCATGCCCAAAAAGCAGACAAATAGGGTTGCTGTGAGGCACCAGACCAATTGCAAGACAGAGTTTGGGCTACAGTGGTCTGAATGGTAGAACCCGCAGTGGCGTACCTTAAACGTTTATTTAAATTGCAGGGATTCGTCAGATTCGTAATTTCATTGCACAGACATGAGAACCACCAGTCGTTATGATGAAGACTTAGATTTCCTATTGTAAACACTAATTTAGGCATGGAGACTTATGAAAGAGCAAATGCTGATTGCTGTAGCCCAAACCTTTGATTCTGAAGAGCTACTTTAGAACCTGTGAGCTTTGATGGGAGTAACCATAAAAATCATGAGTTATCAAATAAACTGTTCACAGTTTCCTCGTGATAAAGGAACAAAGCTAACTAGATGATGCCTCCCCTTCTCCAGAAATTTCACTTCTTGTTTATCTATAGTGATCCTAGATGACAGCCACTTTTTCTTGCTGCAGGTTGAATTTCTACTTTTAAGAAATGACAGTGTTGATTTTTATTCGTTTATTTATTTTCTATAAACTTTGGTTTTTAATTGCCTTTTACATTCCTTTGCCAGGTAAAGGGGATGTTTTTGGTGACATCTTCTGGAAAGAGACCACTCTGGCTCATGCATGTGCCAACGTACGGGCCCTAACCTATTGCGATTTGCACATTATCAAACGGGAAGCTTTGCTGAAAGTTCTGGACTTTTATACAGCTTTTGCAAACTCTTTCTCAAGGAACCTCACTCTAACCTGCAATCTGAGGAAACGGGTAAGATCTCTTTAATCGAATTTTACATGGACGTTTCTTTGTACAGTAGTGATCTAATTTTCAAGTCAGAAGCTTCTCTCCAAGGGACTAGTTTGTCAGCTATGTGTTTTAGCTCAAAAGTACAGTAAAAGCTTTTTCATGAATGTTGAGACTAAACCAGAGAAAATTAATGATAAAGAGGTAGTGAAACTGGGGAGGAGAAGGAAAGGCATTGTATAATGCACTGATTTAGATCTGCAGGTCAGAAGGTTCCCATCCTTCCTGAAGGAATACGAAATGTTGAAGAAGTATCTGTGGGGGAATGCTTCATGTCCTTTATTAGTTACAAGGAGACTGAGTAGGTAGAAAGGCCCGTGCTTATAACTGGATGAACTATGCTATTACTAGGAAATTCTGGGCAAGAAAATACAAGAATGGAGTAAGCAGAAGATTCTGGAATGTTTTAGAGTGAGTGGTCTATAACAATATAACAACGCAAGAAGGAAAGAGAGAAAATGTAGGAAATTGTAGAAAAAAGATGCAGGGAGAACATCAGGTTGGAATTAAAATGTTGTCTCATTTAATTCATCTTCCTCTTCTTCCTCTTCGTCCTCCCTTCATGCATACTTATTCAATTCCCTGAATTAATGTAACATTTTTAATCAAATGTTACTGCAAACTAAATCAAACTGAATTTTTTGGCATGGCTTCTGTTTTTTTTTAAATTGTACATTTAGTTCACTCAAAGGGTAAGCTTCCTCCATCTCATCTTAAAGAATTCAAGTGTTACTGGTATCAGCAATTAAAATTGTGTTCTTAAGAGTAACCTAGATATGACAAAAATAATAAAATAGCAACTGCAAAAATATCTTCATACTTTATCAAGCAACAGATCTCTCTATCAGTTGGAAATAATGTTATATACATGAATTATCTATTAAAAATATTTATTTAGGGTTGCTTTGGGAGAAGTCCTTAGCTTTATGTCACTGAGAAAAAAAATTCTCTTTTTTTATGTTGGTGTTTCAAAAACAGAGTAATAATTGACATATAAAAATTGTCTGCATGAGCAATTCTCATAAGACCGATGAACAGATTTATGGAGCATTAATGCCAACATTTTACTGCTGGAATAGATTTATTCATTTATTTTCTACAACCCTATTTTATCATGGGAGTAGACATTTGTAGGCACAAAAGATCTCCACTTATGAAAATTTGTAAGCAAATCCACATAGCAAAGTGTGTGTGGCTGTTGAATTGGTGGAGTACTCAGAAGTCCATCTCTATTTCAGCATATGGAACACTACGAACAATATAAAGATGTCCAATAGCATGCATGCATCATCCATTATTCCAGATGCAATTTAAAACTGAAATCTGATGCATACTTATCCTCTTGATAGGAATGTATTTTTCACTATATAAATATATGAATTGTAAATTCCACCAGGTTGGTAGAAAACAAATTGCTCTGAAACTTGGGTTTATTCCACGGCCTTCTGGCTGCTAAGCATATGTTCTGCAAGTTCTGGTTAACAGTAGAAACTCCAGAGAGAGTATAGCCTTGGTTTTCAGTTTTTCTTTGCCTTTAAAGAAAAAGACCAAAAACACTACCTTTTGTAAAGAAAAAAATCAAGTTTCAGATTCCAAAGTTGTGAATGGATTAGATAATGAAGATGAACTTTGTTAGATTGGGTAAGGAAAGGCACACTCAGGCTTAGGCAACAACAGCTCTTTATTAACTCTGAGACAACTATGTACAATCCAGCGAAGGTTCAGTCTGACAGCAGCCCTTTTATAGGGAGCTGTCAAACCCTTCAACCAATCAGGTTGAATCTCTGTTCCCGCTGGAACAGAGGACCTTGGTGTAAACCAGTATAACTGATTCTGGTATCTAACACCCCACCCCGCTTAGATGGAATCAACCGACTTGTGATGTAGTCACGCAGGTAGGCGGGCTTTCTGGTGGTTCGCCCAGACCTGCGCAGTTCAGTTGGTGGGTGTTCTTCAGTCAGGTCGGAGTGACCTGTTGACTTTGCAGCTTCGCCTGGTGGAAGCTCCTGGAACTTTTCCCAGGCCGCAGCTGGAGCTTCTGGAGCTGGTTCGCTTGGAGCTCACTGTGGGCCTGCAACACTAACATATAAGTGCCCCAGTCCCTTCAGCTTGAGTTGTCTGTGGAAGGAGTGACTTCGTGCTCCTTTTGGGTAGGGCTTTGGCTAACTCGTGCAGGAGTTACCTCTGGCTGCCTAAGATTGGAGTTGGAGAGGCGGCCATGGAGTTGGTCAACATGCCATCCTCAATTCCAACTGTCCTCAAGCTCTACTAGGTAAGAGCGAGGTCCGATGATGCTTATTACTGTGGCAGGAATCCACAGAGTTCCCCCAGCTTAGTTGTGGGAGTAAACTGAATCCCCTACACTAAAGTTCCTTATTTTGCTTGTCGAATCTGGGGGCGATGCGGCAGAGTAGTTTGAGTGTAGCCGGTCTAAGTGGGACCTTAGCCGGTGACCCATTAGAAGCTCAGAAGGGCTTCTCCCAGTGGTAGCACTTGGCATGATGTGTTGTATGAGGAAGAATTGATCACCCCATGTTTGCCAGTCTCCCGGGCCCATCCTGGATATGGTGTTTTTTTGCAGATCTCA